AAAAAAAAAAAAAATAAAAAAAAAAAAAAAAAAAAAAAAAAAAAAAAAAAAAAAAAAAAAAAAAAAAAAAAAAAAAACATATATATTTGTTGGGAATGGAATCATAATAGGTTTGGAATTCTCCTAACTTTAATTCCGAATCCCTTAAATAATACTGATCACTTTACGACATATACAGTTATACAGTCAACCTCAGTTATATCTCCGCAACTAACACTATTTAGTAGAATAAATACCCTATATTCGTCAAATCTCTAAATTATATTAAAAATTCTTTAAGAAAAAGGAGTTTATAACTTAGGCTTGGCTGTATAACTTTGAATTATGAATTCTCAATTGCAAAATAATAATAATCAATCAACTACTCCTGCCCAGCTGCAAAATGCTGGTAGCTTACGTCAAAATGTCTCAAATATTGGTCAAAATGCCACGGATAATGCTTTTGTTGACGTTCAACTATACATAGACCTACTAGAAGGTATAGATTTCCCTGAAGCGCAAAGCGTAGAAAATTCATTATCGCAGGACACATTTCTATACACCGACCTATTTGACGGCATAGGTTTATTAACCGAACCACAAGAGGACCTATACACAGACCTATTTGAAGGTATAGGTTTAACCGAGGAGCAAGTGGACCTATACACTAGCCTTTTTGAAGGCATAGATTTCTTCGCTGATGTAGAAAATACATCATCGCAGAACGACCAATTCTCATTTATTTCTGGGAATTCTTTCCCATAATAATATATATTTCTTAATTGGATCCTTCTAGATGATGTAAGAATTTTAGGTTTTATTTTTCGCGTTTAAATATAAAGTTATTTTTAAGAATAAAAATTAATTTATAATCTTATATATGTTATTATTCTACAAGGGAGTAGTAACCAAACATTACGCACCATTTTTATTTATACTTTCCTATTTAAGAAATTTACGATAACGAAACCCCTCCTCTTCTACATACGAATTTTTTTTTTTTTTTGTTTGTTTTATCATCCAGGGAGACCAAGGGACGCCGAATGGGGATGGCATACTTTATTCGCATAAAAAGTTTTGATAAGTTATTAGTTTAACTTAATATCCCCCCTCCTCATAAAAAAAATTTTGATTAACTAGTTACTAGGAAATCAAGATCTTATTCGTTCGGGTTTTATCGGTTGGCTGCATGCACGTGCGTTCGAATTGATGAATCCTCGCTACACCCCGAATATTAAGTTGTGTATGACAATAAGTTTATAGATTTAACGAAAATTCTCCTCCTTCCACATAAGAATTTATGATTTACAAGTTATAAATTTAGCATAAAACATCGTAAATCCCCTCCCATATATACATATCAAAGATCCCCCTCCCCACATAAAAAAAATTTTATATCTATATGTGTAATATAAGATATTGACGATCCACCCATAGAAAGACAACACACGCATAACGTATTATTTTTGTGTATACTTTATAAGAATCGGTAAACATACACGAAAAATAGAAATTTTATATTATACAATTTAGAAGTAATATACATATTAATGTAAAAAAAATAAGATATATACTATCAAAATCAAATGTACTTTACGTTTCTATTTATAAATCTATATCTCTTATTAATATTATTAATAAACAATAGTAAGTCCTTCAGGGGATTGACTTTTTTTTTTATTCTTTTGCACAGTGAACGTTGACACTTTATTGAAGCTATAAATTATGTTTGTGATGGTTTTTGTTAGAAAGAATTAAAATTGCACCTTACATTACAGACTTAAAAAATTAACAGGTCTTTTGTATAACGATAATAGATTTCAGTCCTTAAAAAGGATGATCTATTTACTTCACGTGATTAATATCATGTGTATAATTAATTTTTTTATGATAAAATTGATAAATTTCTAATTTTTACATAAAATATCGTATATGATTCATATGATTTATTACATGCTGACTTGGAAAAGTACTTTGTCGCCGCTCTTCATAGTTGTCGGTTTCTAATTACTATTGCACTTGTCATTCAATAAAGTATTTAACACTGATTTATTTTATTAACGTCTATTAGCCTATATGCTGTACTATATTGCGCAATTTTTAATTCATTAACTTTCCTAATTTAGCAACCGACATAGAAAGATCTAAACATACTTACTATTGGAGCTAAATTAGATCCAAATCGTAACAGTATATTAAATAAATATTGTATCTTTCTGTAGCTGTCAATATATGATGACACGTGCTTTTATATTTTCAAAACGGAGTTTTGTAATTTATGCATTAAAGCCCAAATATTTTGAAAACTCAGAGAATTTTATGGTAATATGAGTTTTTTTTTTTAATTTTGGAATCAATCATAAAATTTCTATTTTTGTTTAAATAGGTATTGTTTCAATTAGTAATACTATTAATTCAGTTTGACATTATAATGCATGTCAAATTAAAATTAAAGGATTGTAATCCTAAATATACATGCATAAATTCTAAATTAGGTGAAGCAAATTCTTATGCTATATATTATGATGCAGGTGATACATTCTTACGATGTTAGAGATGCAATCGCACGGACTTCTCAAGTCTCAAGGGGTTTGATAAAGATTTTATAAGAAAAATGTTGATATTGTAACATAAATTCATAATAAAGATGGATTTTTCACTCACTATAATATTAATTTAAACTCACTGCTAATGTGCACTCCGCTTCTTCCGCACGTTAATATTAGATACTGCTTATAAATAGTCGTATAAATAGAATGCAACATTTTCGATCGCTTTACTTTGATTTCACCCCTAGTTCGCATAATGTTCATAAGACACATTGAGGCATGACCGGATCATAGGACATTTTACGGCAAATTATGTAATCCTGTTCAATATATGGCTACATACATGTACTCCACATAATCTTGCATGAACATTGTATACGTACGCCATACTGTTTGCTCTACACTAATTTTAGCAAAGTATGACCCCTTTTCTTCTATATTAATCTTAAAACCCCACAAATTAACAAATAATTCCAAAAGTAAATCAATTGATATAATGATTGTACCGTAAGCATTCATTATGCATATAATATATAAAGTCATTAAAAAAAAAAATTTTTTTTATATCTAATTTTGTGGCGCAGTGACAAACGTATCATTGTGATTATTAATATTGTTGTTGTTTGACAGCTACTGACAATCGAGCCTTTTTTATTTTGCATTTATTCTTGTTACGCATAATATTTGCGTATTTGTGTACGTTTAAATTAATGATGCCTGACAAATGACGAAACCATTCGTCAGATAATTCCTGATTGACGAATTGACGATTGACGAAACCCCTGACGAATGACGAAACCTATGACGAATTGACGAAACCTATGACGAAATGACGAAACCTATGACGAAACCTGATGAGTTATATTCATACAAGATAGAGTTAAATACCGCGTTTATAAAAATTAAGAAGTGATTTAATAACGATAAGAGCTAAAAAAAAAAATGATGTTTTACAGCTGAGCTGATTTGAAAATTAAATTTCAGTAATTATTTTTCGGTAATTACAGTATAGTTTTTCAATAATATAATCTTCGGATATATATCGCGGTATCGTTTGTTTTGATTTTCGGACTAATCCGGGATGTTTTCAAAAATCAAAACAAACGGTACCACGATAATATATTGGCCGAAAATTATATTATCGAAAAACTATACTGTTATTATCGAAAAATAATCATATGTCCCACTAATTTTCAAATCAGCTGTAACAGGCGACAGTGTATAATTAATAATAGTGATAGATAATCAATCTAGGTTGATAACAATATATATATTTTAAGATATCCATTGTGATTTTACTTATTTACAAATGACAAATAAATTAAATTTTGTAAATAAACAAAGCGCATAAAAATGGATGCTCATTATATGTAAAACTTTGTTCTCGTCATTTTAATTAGTGCACCAAGGTCGATTTAAACATTGGCTTTCAAGTATTTTCGCTTTTCTTTCTTCTTTCACACAGATCCGGGAATCAACGATTTGATTATTCCGGATTAACCCGATATGAATGATTATTCCGGATCAACCCGACATGAATTGCGAAAGAAGAAAAGAAAAAAGCCAACAAATCCTTATAATGAATTAACATTCTTTTGAAACAATTTAAGGTTTAGCGTATCCAAAGATCATTATATAGAAGCTTGTTGTTTAATTACTGGCTAAATCGGTTGACAGTGTTTCATCAATCGATAGAGGCTTCGTCAAGGGTTTCGTCATTTCGTCATAGGTTTCGTCATTTCGTCATAGGCTTCGTCAATTCGTCATAGGTTTCGTCAATCGTCGGGGGTTTCGTCAATAGTCAAGGTTTCGTCATGACGAAACCATGACGAAACCATGACGACGTCATTCGTCATCGCAAAAATCATTTCGTCAGGCATCATTAGTCCACACCTTTACAACGTACATAGTAATCACGTCTTTCGCTTTTATAACTAAATTTGTCCTAAGTTCAACCCAACAACTTGTACAATATCGAGTATACATATAACATGCACTAGTTTTTTTTTAATTGTAGCGACAGTGCTTATAATTAAAATAAGAATAAATATAATAGATTGTTTAATTTAAATAAATTCACCAAAAATTATACATAAAACTTTCTAATATAAAATATTAATTTAACGTTTGATAATTAATCCATTATCTAAAGTCATCTAAGTCAAATTATATTGGAAGTGTGAAAAGGCAGCACTTTTATACTTCTCAAATACATTATATCTCAATATACTTATATCTTTGTACTCCTTAATCTTTCCAACTCTTTACATAATGTTTTTCAAGACATTAGCTTTTTACCCGATTATCGCAATACTGATCTTGTCTATTTATAGACTATCATTCTTCGTATACTTGTGTTTCTTTTTTCTATTCCTTCCCTAACACTGACAAATTCTATAGTTAATTAAACAATCTCAATCTTCATTTTAAAATTCATGCAATGGTAAGTCTGGAATCTTGATAAAAAAATTTATGTTCATTTTGCATTAAAATTTGAATCAAAAATAACGCATTCATTATTTTGTGATACTGTAGAACCAATTTTGTTCGTAGGTTTTGAACCTTTTAAACGTTTTATAAATTTATATGAGCTTATAGCATCTGCACAATCACTTAAAGGTCTAGAATCATACTTAGTTATTTTGTCAGCTTTTTTAAAAGTTCTTATATAACAACTTTCTTTTATCCAACTATCTAAATATTTTCGAAGACCATTTGCTGAAGGACGTTCAGATGCATTTGCATCCATACATAGATTTGCTAATTCATATAAATCTGCGGTATTTCTTTTGCAAATGTTGGACGGAGACCATCACAGATATCTTTTATAAGGCTATCATTATCTTTTCGATCATAGCATAAAGGTTTTCCTGCTGAAACTTCCCACATAATTATGCCAAATGAATAAATGTCAGATGCCATGGTGTATGGTTCTCCAACTAAAACTTCTGGAGCAATATATGGTAAAATTCCAAAGACTCCGTTAGACTCAGTTGTTAATAGCATATTTACTGATTTTAAAAGACCTAGATCTCCAATTGATGCATCTTTCAGACTATTTTGTAATATATTACCACTATGTAAATCTTGATAGACAAGATTTTGAGAATGAATTGTCTGAAGATCAAGTGCAATATTAAGTAATATTGTTAGTTTGTCCATCCACTCTATTTGCATTATTGAGGGTAAATTACTACGCAAAGAACCCTTTGATGCATATTCTATGACAAGAATATAATCTTCTGAAATTTCACCTATTGATATACCGTAACATTTTAAAAATATAGGATTTTCACTACACATGTAATATGCCTTAAGCTTTGTTATTTAAAAAAGGTATTTAGGTGAATAATAATTATACGTACTCAATAGAATAATTGAAGATATAAAAATTACCTCGCTTATAAACACTTCCGGATTTTTATTCGATCCATGAATTAATTTAAGTGCAACGTCTGTTTTCAACTTCCTCTGGTCTTCCCATCTAGCATAAAATACTGTTGCGAATGCACCTTGTCCTATTTTTTGAGTATTTTTGAATTCTCTATAAGGAATATATGATAATTGATAATTATCTATCGTCCTTTTCACATCATCATTTATATCAGAATTTTGTGTATAACAATTCATGTCTAGAAAATTTCAACGATCAGATTTTAAAAATTATTAATGATGAATAATATAATGATCAAATTACCTGATAAATATTTGTCACCTCTAATTCAATATTTATATAAATATTAATAATAACTCTATTCAAACAATTATTTCTGATAAAACTTACTTTTTAGACCAATAATCGGCCATTGATTGATTCATCGCCTTTTCGATAGCAATTACTAAGGGTATACATTGCATTAATATTTCCTTTTTCTGCAGATTTTTGATAATAAGTGAATGCATTGCGAATATCTTTTATAACTCCAATTCCATCCTGATAACAAATTCCAACACGAAACATCCCATCATTGCAGATTTTTTATAATAATTGTATGCTAGAATATTATTTTTTTCAACTCCGATTCCATTTCGATAACAATAACCAAGACTACACGCACCATCAGAATGATCCATCTCAGCAGATTTTTCATAGTAAGACATTCCATCAGGAGTTATCGTTTTATCGAATCCTTCTTTATGTGCATTATATTTGTCTTTCTCAACACCAATTCCTTCTTCATAGCAACGTCCAAGATTATATATCCCATCAGCGTTTCCTGCCTCAGCAGACTCTTGATAACATATAAATGCCTTATATTTATCTTTTTGAACTCCAACCCCCTTTTCATAAAAAACACCCGTATAAAACATTCCTTCTGGAGTTTTCATTTTGGTTGATCCCTCTCCGTGTCCCGCTTCTGCAGATCTTTTATAATAAATATATGCGATGTGTTTGTCTTTCTTGACGCCAACTCCTTTTTCATAAAAGACACCCGTATAAAAAATTCCATCGGGAGTTATCATTTTATCTGATCCTTCATTATGTCCGATCTCTGCAGATTCCTTATAATTAATATATGCGTTGTATTTGTCTTTCTCAACACCAATTCCTTCTTCATAACAACGTCCAAGATTATATATCCCATCAACGTTTCCTTTCTTAGCGGATTCTTGATATTTACTAAATGCAGGTAGATCTATAAGCCGTTTTTTTTTTATCTCTTTTATCAAATGTAATAAGAATGAATTTATTAGTAAATCGCTGAACAATAATTTAAACAATTAATAGCATTCCGTTAGTATATAAAAACCTGACTAATGTAAAGAATGTTTCCTCAACATTTATGTTTGCTTTGGCACTGGTTTCAAAAAATTTGATTCCAAATTCATCCGCAAGTGTTTGACCTTGTTCCTTAGTAACTGCCTGTGAATAGATAATAATAATGAATTTTTATATATATATTTTTTAAACTCCTACTTTTTATTACAGTTTATACCCTGGTCATTATATCATGATCGCAGGGCATAAATCAGTTATACCCTGAGCACTATGTGTATAAGCGGAAATTTTATCTCCGCTTATACCCAACTACCCAGGACATAACTATTACATATTACCCTTTTTTCAACCCAATCAAATTTATTTCCAATAAGGATTTTATTAACTCCCTCATTAGCATGTTGATCTATATTCGAAATCCAATTCCTTATATCCAATTCCTTATATCTAATTAGCCATGAAATTTATGTTAAATGATAATGTATATAAAGTAAAAGTAATTTAATGAAAATTCTCCAAAAATACGCTATTAAGGATACTGTTAAAAGACCGTTCATTGGTAACATCATGTACCAAAAGTATGCCCGTAGCACCACGGTAATAAGCTTATAATAGTGTGAATAATATATAACCGTACCAAAAATATTAAAATACATAATAAAATTCTTGAAGCCAATTAAAATATTAAATTTACCTGTAGTAATTGTACGAAAACGCTCTTGACCTGCAGTATCCCATATCTGGAGTTTAATTCGTTTACCATCTAGTTCAATGGTTCGAGTTTTAAATTCGATCCCGATTGCAGATTTAAAAGATGGAGTAAATGATGGATTAAATGAATCGTCTGCGAAACGGCGCAATAGTTCGGCCTTGCCAACTTCTGCAGAGAAAGTGATTGCAAATTTAGACTAAGACTTTACAACGACTATATATAATTAATAGCATAAGCTTATTTATATGCTAACTTGGATCTCCAATTAGCAAAAGCTTAATTAAATAATCGTAAGCCGCACTCCTGCTTTGAGCCATCATTCCGTTCATTCGAATGAATATGGTTAGAAAATTCCGAATAATGTACGTATGTATCTGGTATTATTTATTTTTAGATATGAAAGTGATGTATGGTATATTTTGATACGACAGGTGGGGACCTTAGCATCACCAACTTACACAATTAGTCTTGATATTAAGTTAGGAGTTAGAAAAAGCTCTATTGACACCAAATCTATACTGTACTAAAAAAAAGGATGTTCCAGCGATCGTGGATCATAGTATAACCGCCTAAGCCGACAGATTCGCCGTTTACAAATGTCAACAAGTTCGCACACCGAAAGTGTGTACGTTGTGAGGGTGACAACTGCCCCGGAATCACGAAAATATGAGTCACACGATATCAATCGGCACTTCTATTAATCTAAACAACGCACTAAACTATTAAACTCTATCTAAATCCTAACATTGGCAGGCTACGAAAGAGGTGTGGAAGATAGATTACGTCACGGGCTCTATTCAAAATGTGTACAAGGTTGTGCTCCGGATGATCTTGTGATGGTCCCAATGACCGAACAATTCTCGATTTCTTTTAATACTGTAATATCAACAATATCGACTATTATGTTATAAAGTCGACTTTACTTTGCACTACACCTTTAGTTACTATTATTTATCCTTTTATTTGTGCATAACATTAATAAAGAAAAGAAATTTATTTATTTGATCTACTAATTCCTCAACTTGCCTAATAATTACGCAACAAAACATGAATTTATATGATAAAAAAAAGTTGTATTCTATGAGATTTATTCATTCGCTAAAATTTCTTTAAATAACTTATTTTGTAAGGAAAATTTTTCTTAGTTTTCTAATCTTCTTTAACATTACTTTTATTATTACAAATAAATTATAGCCAACTCTTTCTATAATGACTGATGTACTGAAAAAAAACAAGTTCATTATAGAGAGGTTCGTCATACTGTATAGTCTTCCATGTATAAAAAAAAATGTATTGAATAAAATTATTAAGTTTTTAGTTTTTTAAAAATTTTTTCATTAAATAAAATACACAAATTTATTAAATAATTTTTTTTTGTTATAGAAATTTACAGTATTTTTCAAATTACAAACAATATACCTATGTACTGTACATAAGTCTATTAATAACTGATTAATTGAGAAAATTTGAATTCCAGAGTAGCTATCTGACCAACATCTGGAGCATAACCTTGTACACATTTTTAGTATGCAAATCGATTATCATTTTTATTGGATGGTTGCTTGTAGAGATGTGTCTCTCACATGTGTGCATCCAATAAATCAAAATTACACATTGATTCATAAATATGTAATGAGTGTAATGAGACTTTACCTCACTACCCTTGGTAATACTCATATACATACCAAGATTTTATTTCACCCAGTAGAGTTATCCAATAAAATTTTATCTGAACTTTAACTTTCATGATGTTTTGTTAATATAGTCAAAATAGTAGTTATTTGGCAGATCTAGTAAACTAAAATAAAAAATATATACTGTATTAATGGGTATCCGTAGGCCAAACATATTAAATTTAGTATGCAAAAAAAAAATTTTTTTTCATTAAATATAAATTTTTATTTTTTTTTTTGGTATTAAGGTGAGGCCTTGTTCATATCTTTATTGATTAATTTATATAAGTAATTACATATCAACTATATAAGAACTTAATTTGTATAATAACAAATA